AGGTCATCTACAGCACAAAGGATTCAACACACTGAGTTTTCGGAGGATGAGCTAAGCTCTGAACTCATTCAGAGACTTAAAGCTAATTCTATGAAAAAGCAACTATCAAAAAAATCTCTTACTTCAACCTACTCGCCCTCAGCAGATATAAACGAAGGCTTTTCGACCGAAAAATCTTCGGGTGAGGAACTTGATTCTGCCTATGATCAATCAGCTGCTTATATGGAGTCTGAGATCCTTCTTCGAATGCATTATATTGATCCTCCCACTCCGCCTATTCGCGTCTTGGCGGTCAGAAAATCTGCGCGTCGGAGTAATTTATTTTCTCCAAAAAATGCTAAGAATCGCCATGATAGCTTTTTGAATGAAACAGCCACTCTTTCTCGTCCACGAAATCTTGGTGCCTATACCCCGTCCTTATTAGATGGAACGAGATTGACCCTGGATACAAATCTCCATAACAATTCGGAAGGTATTCTGATTATCTCCTAAAGGCACATATCAGTTTATAAATGTTGTTTGATTTAATTTTTTAAAATTACTTTATTTGCACTAATTTCTGCTTTTTTTTCCCATATATTTTGCCATACAAAATGAACTTGTTTGTTTTTATCTATATTTCCTATCATAAATAGTTTAATTCGTTTGTCTTTATACCACATTTTCTTGATTTTTTATGCATTAAGGAAGCAGGTTAATTCATTTTATTCATTTGCACTTTTTTATTGTTTCAGCTCGTAATAATCCTGATGACCTGGATGATGGTGCTGATTGGATATCCTCTTCATCTTCGAATGACGGAGATAGCGATACTTATTCGGAAGAGCAACAGTCTCGTACTAAAATTGCTTGTGCCCCACAAGTGGTTTATCTGTCATGTTCATCACAGGAAAGTAGCCAGAATAAAATCAATCCATATACTAAATCATGTTGCCAATGCAACGATGATGCTGTGTTAGCAAAGGTAGTTTTTTCAATTTATTTCTGTTCCTGGATTTATTAATTTTCGTATTGATTAATTAGAACATTACTCTTAATTTTTTTCACTAAAATGTAACAGTTAAACTTCTGCCAGATTAAGCAAACCTCCTTACCTATACTCGAAGGTATGAAAACCAGATGGTGTGGCCTTTTGTGTCTCCTTTCGTTGTATAGAGGTTGTTTGACCTTGTTTTCGTATGAGAGTAGGGTTTCGAGACTACCAGTACATCAGTGTAATGAGATGTATTGACCCTATTTCGTCTGAGGTGATGAAGGACTGGTAGTAGAATTTTCCCACAATGATATGAGTTGAGTTGACGTTTCCCTTGAATTTCACATAGCCTTACTTTTCCAAAAGTTGTTCTCATCCAGGGCGAACTGCAGTTTTGACCTCGTATTGGTCTTATCAACACCCTCAGAGGGAG